TTTGAAAAATGTTTAATTTGCTTTCATTCGATTCGAAATCAAATTTTCTATTGTTGATTGTTGATTGTTGATTGTTGATTGTTGATTGTTGATGTCGATTCGTAGATCGAAAATTTGATTTCGAACCGAATGAAAGCTAATTCAACGTTTTTTCAAAAAATACTCGGCCAAGATACGAGCAAAATACGGACCGAAATGTCCAACGAAAAACGGATCGAAAAAAAGGGGCGGAGTTAACAGAACTGATTCACGAGCGAAACAAGTACGCACTAGTTATAAGCTTAGAAAAATGTTCAAGTCACAGAGTGAAACAATACTTCAAAATCCTCCCCAAAACCGAAAGGACAAGAAAGCAAAGTTGAAACAAAAGATTCGAAAATGAAAAGCCAAACGAAAAATGCTACATAATTGCCGTGGCTTTAGTTTTCATTTGAGTTTTGCTCACAAATAAGTCACTTCAAAGTTTAAGTCTCTAAAAACTCGTTTTTTTGATTTTTTTTTTTCAAGAATTAGAAATGGAATTTATAATTCATCTGATTTTTCATTCAAAACTTCTTTGAATTGATTGGGCAACGAAAATTTACCGACCTGTCAAATGCGCAAAAGTTCTCTCTTCGATTTTCTTTGCTCGAAAGCGAAAAGCCTATTAAAAATCAAATATTGCACAGATTAGCTGAAAAAAAAAACTTGAAACTAATATTTTTCTATTTGATTATTTTGAAATCAAAAACTGCAATTTCGATTCGAAATCCGATTCTTATTAGAAAATAATTCTAATGTGTTTCGCGCGATGAGCGCCCGCCAGACGATCTACAGAAATCTGATTTCGAGTGGGTTTTTCTGCAAAAGATATTTAGACTCTTTAAGAAGCCATTAAATTAAATTTTAATTTTACATTAAATTAGCCATCGCCTGATCGCCTTCGGTGATCTAGTGAATAGTCTGCTGACTAATGGGCCTGTTACATTCTTGTCCGCAAGTTCGGCTCTCACTCTCACCAAATGCCAAAGCCAAAGCCATTTTCTATTGAGAAGCAGGTCTAGTTGTGGGTGATCAGTGTTTTAGCCGAGTTTCATAGTGTTTAAAAAACATTCAATCTTTAAGCAATCTTTCACTAATCCTTTCTATTTATTACAAAAAAAATCGATTTGAATGTCCCTCCCATTTCTCATCCTTCAGATATCTTTCATTTCTTTTCATTTTCTTCTTCTCTTTTACTTTTTTGTCTTCCCGTTTTGTCTACTTACTTGAAATGGATATCACCAAGAAAAGCGAATAGAAAAAGAAAGAAAAAAAAAGGTGAAGAGTGATGCGACACAAATCGAATTCTCTTCTTTTTTTTCCTACCCTTTTCTGAGATGAGACTTGCTCATTCTCACCTTCGACCTCTTCACTTTTTTGGCTCTTTCCCTTTCCTCTCTTTCCCTCAACTTTCCCTCCTCTAGTAGTTGATATTTTGATTCGAAAGTTTTATATTTCGTAAAGAAATTTCATTTCTAAACCTTTCTAAACCTTTCTAAACTTTTCAAAACCTTTCTAAACCTTTCTAAACTACTTTAATTTTGAGAAATCCTGTGCACTTTTTGCCAACAATTGTATCATTGATTGTAGATTGCCAATTTTAATCATAACAAATTTGAAACAACGTTTTTTCAGCTTGCCAAAAAGCTTATCAAGGCTATCTTTTAAGTGCATCAATAAACGCGTAGCTTTCCATTTCTTTTAAAGAAGTTCAATACTTTTTACAAATTTTCTGACACTTTCGAAACAAGTTTATTTAAATATCTTTGAACAAATAGTTAATTTTCTTAAATTCTCTTGTTTCTCTAACTCTAAGGCGTAAAAGATTATTAGCAAAAAGGAAAAATAGCAATCAGTGGAGTATTCAATGGTTGGGAATGGATGGATGAGGGGTTTGTCTACCCCATTTTCAGGTAATGAGAGCTTTTCGATTTCGTTTTCCTTCACCTCTCCACCTTTTGCAACCCTGAGAAAATCTATGCCTCCAAAAAGATGTAGTGAACAAAAAAAAACAAAAAAAAGTTTTAGCTTTTGAAAAATATTGATTTCTATTTGTTTAAAACAACTTTTTACAGTTCAAGCTTCAACTTTTCAAAGCCAGACGATAATGTAAACGCTTATTTCTATTCGTCTTTCGTATCTTTCGTACTAGCAATCAGGTTTATACCAAGTTACAGTAAACTCTTCACTTACTACTAAATATATTACCTTTAATCATTTACAGTTTTCTGTTTCAACTTTACGATTCAGCTCATCTTTGGCTTTATATATATGGCTTGAATAAGTTTAGCGATATTCTTTTACTCAATAATAACCCACAATAAAAGTATCAACATACGATTCCACATTGCGAGCCGCTTGCCTTCAAGGCAAGTGTTTTTGAAAAAATTTGTTTCAAAACGATCAACTATCGTTTTTTTTGTTCCAAAACGATCAACTATTCAAGTTAATCATTCACATTAGTTTATCCGGCCTTTCAAATTCATCTTCGCATAAAATTGAGCGGTCCTCAAAAATGTACCATATTTGGTTGGCGTCTATTCAAGTCAAATGGTTAACTCAAATTAACCATTATTATATTGGACAGCCATATTGGACATTTCATACACGCCCCGCCCCTTTTCCCATTGGTAATCCAACTTTAAACTCAAATTCCTTGGTGTTAGGCTTTTCAATTTAAATAATCTTTGTATCATTGAATGCGCCAAGTCTTTCTCTATCGATTGGTATAAAAAAACTATTGAAATTGAACAGCTCAACACCAAGAAATTTGAGCTCAAAGTTGGATTGCCAATGGGAAAAGGGGCGGGGCGTGTATAAAAGGTTCGTCGTCCCGCCCCTTTTCCCATGGGCAATCCAACTTTAAATTCAAATTTCTTGGTGTTGGACTTTTCAATTTAAATATTCTTTGTATCATTGAATGCGCCAAGTCTTTCTCTATCGATTGGTATAAAAAAACTATTGAAATTGAACAGCCCAACATCAAGATATTTGAGTTCAAAGTTGGATTGCCAATGGCAAAAGGGGCGGGGCACATGTCCCACAATCATTTGAACCAATCTTTGCCTTTTTTCACCTTGATTTGACTTGTTTCAGCTCGAGAAAATCTCATCTTGAAAATCTCATCTTGAAAATCTCATTTTATCTAACAATTAGCATTCCAACTCAAATCTTTATTCTAGTTCAAGTTTTCGCAACATTTGGCCCGTTTCCAGGAAAATCCCCATCACTAGATCAATCTTTTTCAAACAAAAAAACTTTCAGTAAATCTGCATTTGTGGGAAGAAACCCATGAAAAGACGAAAAAAGATATTCAACTGGGAAAAAGAGAAAAGAAAAGAAGTAATCCCGAGACATATAATAGCCGGGGCGCTAATTTATTGATCAAGAAAAGAAAAGAAAATGGGGGGAAAAGAAGAAAGGCGGGAGGGGAGACTCGGGGCAGGTCTTTTCTTTGCCTTTTGTGTGGTTCTTTTCAAAAGGCACATCGTCGGAGTGAAGTTTTGATTAGACCGGGGGGCACCTATAGCCTTTGATGGAGGCAAAAGTGAGGACCCCCTTCTTGGGCTTGCTCTTTTTTTTTGTGTTGAAGACGACGTGTGAAGAAACACGGCCACATTCCCACCCACATTATTTTCATGCCCCTTTTCACCTTCTAGACAATGCATCAATATTTTTTTTACCTGTTTTCCAGTATCCAGCTTCAAACTAATTGCTTCACTTGCTGTTCATTTTCGATTGTCAATAGGTCAATAAAAATGAGATTTCAGCAAATGCCGAAATAGACTCAATAAAATGACTAGCTTCAATCGATTCCCCGACCTCGAAAACCCTCGGGTACAAATTTCCAGCTAAATATCTTCTATTTAAAGCCATTTACAAGTCAAAAAAGAAATGCTGGAAAAGACTGCCTTTGTCCTTTGAGCGCGCGTGTAATCGCTCCCCATCTGGCACAGCATCCAGATAGGTAGCTGTACCTTTTCTAGTGTTTGCAGATTCCAGATTCGACTAGCGACGGGAAATCTCTCGCGGGCACCACCATGGGTCAAGTTCCCTGGGTCAGTGCTTGACCATATTTAATATCCCTGATACAAATTCGGCATCCCATTCAACCCAGACATTCAACCCAATCAAAACCCAAACACTCAAGGTTGAAACTGATCCGAAAACTCGCTTTCATCTTCTAAACCTGATAGATTATTGATAAACTGATTCACTTTAGTCATTTCGCCTCTCGTTTTACGTGACTGCGTTTTCTAAAATGTGTCAACCCTCGTGACTATCATAATTTTGCTTCCCTTCCTCACAGAAATGACCAATTTCTTCCGTTACTTCCAGTTGGATTCAACCTGTCCCCCTTACTTCTGAGAAGACATCAATCTTTTCTTTAAAAAGATATTTTTCCATCTAATCACAGTTTATTTACATCTAAACTCATTGCTGTTCGATTCCCTACATTCTTTTATTAATACAAGAGTAGATCCATTTTTTAACATTTTCCTTTGCTTATTTTTAAACATTTTCGATCATTTGCTCACAGTTTTGCTTCAGAAAATACAAAATTTTCATTTACTCAAAAAATCGATGAGAAATTCATCAATTCTTAAAGCATAGTTTCAAATTTAGGCAATTAACTTTTGAAATCAAGAACTTTAGCTAATTAGTTAAGCGTCTTTCTTCTTTCAAATTACAGCCTTCCCTCGCCATTTACTCAAAATTATTTCCCCTTGCTTTTGTTGTGAATATTTTTTATTTCAAAGCCTTATTCACTTGTGTTTTCCCCTTTTTTCAAATAAAACCCGTCGATTCTGCAGAAAGCTCGATTCCACTGAAATCACTGCCGCAAGAATCACCGCCTCAAAATCGAGCCATAGAAAAATCCTCGAATCGAATGTTTTATCGAAAACGCCATTCAATTACTGCGACAAGAATGATCATCCCGATCATGCACAAATGATCGCTTTTGCGGAGAAAACGAAATGCAAACCCGGGGACCGCTCTCTTTCTATCGGCATCGAAGAGTAAAAGGTCTAAAAAAGCTTTTACCAAAAAACTCGGTACTTATAAAGTTAAGGGATCACTTTTTTTTGCTTCTGGGGTAAATTTTTGCGTAGTATCCGAAAATCGCCATTCCAAAATCCGTTTATTGCGTTTCTGATAAGAAAAAGCAACTTTTTTTGGGAAAATTTGCAAATTCATTTTCTTTGATTCTGAGCTTTTGGATGCCGCTTAAAAGACGAAATTAAAACTGATTAAACCTGAACTCTATCACCCAAAACCTTTATAAGCTGTTCTTTTGCGCTAAACGCTAGATAAACCATCCGAAAACATTTGGAATCAATGGTCAACAAACCAATATGAATCTACTCGAGCTTAGCGAGAAATTGCTTCTGCTTGGTGTCGACTTCGAAAAAGTGACAAGATCCTGGACTTGTGCACAGAAAATAAAAACGTGTCCAAGTGGTGGAAATGAAGACATGAAGGGTTATGCGGGGCTTAGTGAGAAATTGCTTCTGCCTGATGTCGACTTCGAACAACAACAACAAACGGATTTTGGGATGGCGATTTTCGGATTCTACGCAAAAAGTTACCCCAGAAGCAAAAAAAGAGGCCTCCTCCAACTCTTTTAGTACCAGTTTTACGAAGTACGAAGTTGGACATCAGGCAGAAGCAATTTCTCGCTAAGCTCGAGTAGATTCATATTGGTTTGTTGACCATTGATTCCAAATGTTTTTTGGATGGTTTATCTAGCGTTTAGCGCAAAAGAACAGCTTATAAAGGTTTTGGGTGATAGAGCTCAGGTTTAATCGGTTTTAATTTCGTCTTTTAAGCGCGATCCAAAAGCTCAGAATCAAAGAGAATGAATTTGCAAATTTTCCCGAAAAAAGTTGCATTTTCTTATCAGAAACGCAAAAAACCGTTTTTGGAATGGCGATTATCGGATTCTACGCAAAAAGTTACCCCAGAAACAAAAAAAAAGTGATCCCTTAACTTAATAAGTACCAAAAAAACTTTGACTTGCTTTGGCCCTTTTGAACTGCGATTAACTGATGCTGATGCAGCAACTGATGCTGATGCAGCAACTGATGCTGATGCAGCAACTGATGCTGATGCAGCAACTGATGCTGATGCAGCAACTGATGCTTTAAGTTAAACAATCATTTGATGATTCTTAAAGCCGAAAAACTGTCAGCATCGAAGAACTATTGAATTTAAAGGGAGATTTGTGCAGAAAAAAAAGTTGAAACAAGTAAAAAAAAGCTAGCCTACTTTCAAAGTATTATTGAAATTTGTTGAATCAAATTTTCGAGATTCTTTGAAGTGTTTTAATGAAAACAAAAATGCATAGTGATTTGAGAAAATTGAATTTAAAATCAATTTAAAATCAATCCGTTTAAAGTTGAAGTAAATAAAATTCATTTAAAATATTTGAAAATTCACAATCGTTAAATAAAGCTCGATTCAAAGAGTTTCCTAAAATCCTTGTTTAAAAATTTTTGCGCTTTAAGCTAGCGTTCGGCAAACAAAACCAAAACACCAAAACAGACCAAAAGCAAAACACCAAAACAAACCAAAACCCAATTTGCATATAAATTAACATGTAAATTTAAAATTGTAAAATGCAAATTTTAATGTAAAATGCAAATCTGCCTTTCACTTTTTCTCAGTCCACAAAATCTCGCGGCCGAAAAAAGGACCAAAATACGACCTCGAAATTTCGAAACAAAAAAATAGCCTACGGGATAGATTTTTGGACGCTGATTTCAAATCTGCAAATAGATTTTCGCTAGCTCCTCCCAATCGCGAGATATTGGCGAGTTTTGGTTAGTTTTGGTTTTGGTTTTGGTTTTGTTATGGTTTTGGTTTTGGTAGTTTTCGTTTTGGTTAAGTTTTGTTTTCCGAAGTCTAATTTAAAATAAATTTAAAATAATCCGTTTAAAGTTGAAGCAAATAAAATTCATTTAAAATATTTGAAAATTCGCAATCGTTAAATAAAGCTCGATTCAAAGAGTTTCCTAAAATTCTTGTTTAAAAATTTTTGCGCTTTCAGCATTTTTAAAGTCAATGATACAGGTAAATTAAAAATTTTTGAAAAAAAAAATTTTTCCTTTTAAAAGCTGACAAAAATTCTAATAAATCTAATAAAGCTTTTAAAACTTTTTTAAAACTGAAAATTGATGAATAAACATTTTCTAGGACACGGTCGTGATTCATCGTATCATCACGCGGCTGTCGTTGAGGTGGGTTTAGATTGACAAAAATTTTTGTCAATCTTTCCAATGAATAAAAGTATCCAAAAATTTCACAAGCGTTTCGCTACTTTCTCAGTTTCGCTACTACTGTTTTCGCAATAAGAAGTGAAGCTCTTAGATCAGAAAAAAAGTGCTATGATTGTAAGTGAGAACATTGATTGCACTTCGACTATAAAACATAGCTTTTCACGCTCTACAGTACCCCAAGCAGCACCTAGAGCACACTGCAGCTGCACTTTACAGTACGCTTCAGCATCTACAAGTGCTTACGGAGGGTATAACCAGGCCCGTAGTTAGAGGGGGGACAAAAAGGGAAAATGCCAAATGGCAAATGGTTTTGGAGGGGAATTTTTTTGATCATAAACGTATCATTTTCAAAGAGTTTGCCCCAAACAATTTATTTAGAAAACACCTTAAATTTTGCATTCACCTGATGCATTCAAAACTTTTGCATTGCATTTTTTTTGCATTTTTCTTGCAGAATTGCATCTTAAAGAGTTAAAAAGCGAAAATTTGAGTTAAAATATGCAAATTTTGTAGATTCAATATATCTAGCGTATTGTCTCTCATAGTCAGTGCACTCTCTAATAGTATTGCGGTCCAGGAGGGAGTTGAAAAATTTAGTAGTGCGCACTACTATTAGAGAGAATACCGTATATGCTTTATTCAGTCGAATGGCGACAAAACAAGATCACAATAATCACCCAGGACACCACTCAAAAAAAAAACACTCAAAAGATAAAAAGATACCTCAAGAAAGAATCACAGAGCAGTTAAATGAATTGCCGAAATTGTGGCTTTAAATCTAGGCAAGGCGGGAATATCACGAACATGGCGGGGTAAAAGGTTTCACAATTTAATAACTCGATTAAAAAAGAAACTCTGAGAGCTTTTAGAGGAAATGGAAAGTTTATGAGAAAAGGCCTCCTTCTGGAGGCGCCCCGTACAGAGCCAAATTCAAAGAGACCAGAAATAGAATTTAAATGTTTAATGTAGAAACTTACGTTAAGAATATTTTGCAAGCCTTCTATTGGATGTAACACTTTCATTATCCTGATCCTGTGGAACTAAATACTCTAATTGAAAGCCATCCCCTCGTACAGCCGTGTTGTCTAATTGGGGAGAATGAAATGGCGCGGAGAATCAAAGAGATTTTCTAAAAACTTCTAGCAAATTTCGTCAAATAATACGCGTTTGATATGAGTAGAAAGGTTAACTAATTCTCCACAAAATGATATTTAAAAGAGAACTCAAACAGCGCCTCACCCTCAACAAAAGGCCGTGTTGTTTTCGAAAATAATTTTTTTCTCAGCCCCTAGATTTTTCCCAACTACACTTTTGGTACCAAAAAATACTAGATTTCAAGAGTTATCATTTGCCGCTCAAGCGCACACTGTAGCATGAAGCAACACGGAGAACGAGAGATTCAAAGTTAAACTACGCGACTGTACGCCCGTCATTATGGGGGTGGCATTCGATTAGAGTATGTATGGTAATTGTAAGTTGATCATCTCAACTTTAGCCACCAAACCTTTGAAGAAAGTACAATTTTTGCAAACGATTTTAACTTGTTTAAACACTATCGTTAACTTAATGAGTAGTGGATATCAAGAAGTACGCAAAATATGTTTGGGATTAATCAAGTAGACTCAATTTTAGTCTGTTAGACTCTGTTAAACTTTGAAACATCGCTTCATATTTGGGATTCAGGTCGGAGCCATGGTGCTCCAGAATATGTTCAGCGCTCTTTCCTTTCTTCACTACCGAAAAGATGACGATTTCGTCGATCGGTAAGCAATTTTTTTTGGTGTCTAGTAAATGGAATTGCTTATTTCGGTCTTTCTATTGATCTAAAGGGTGATCAAGAAAAAAAAAACCCCGTCCTAATGGTCCTTATAGGCTCATAGCTCTGTTATTTTTAGACGAAAACTATTCATTTCTTTTTTTAAAATGAAAATTTACATCATTTTCTGTATATGCTCAAGATTTCATGACCATAGCATTGATCGATAATTTTTTATGAGCACGCAAAAATAGCTAGTCAAAAAAAATAACGAGCCGCAATTCCAATTTGGGATTTTTGAAAAAAAAACCTTAGAAAACAATTTTTTCTTTGCAGTTTTTTTTCTTTTGCAAGTTTTTCTTATGTTTAAATAGATTCATTTTTAAAAAAATATTAAATGCATTAATATGGGGCCCAGAAAGGGAAGGGTCTGTGGTCGACCCCGTCCGATCTGCCAAGTTGAGCAACGTCGGCGCGGGTTAGTCGTGGGTTCGACTCCCATGGGCTCCCCTCCGAGTGCCCCAGCCCGGTCATCGGAATATCATCGGCTACGACAACTACACTTCTGCCTCAGTAAATGTGGAAGCGGGTTGTGATCCGCGCTAAGTGCGAAGACAGATCAAATCATTATTTTATTTTATTAATGCATTAATATTTTCTATAAGAGCATCGATAAAAGAACTTCTAAATTCGAGTTATTTTTTGACCAGACATTATAAAAATAAATCGAAAAAAAAAGATTTAAAAACCTCGCACATGCTGTGAAAAGGTATTCTATACATCCTGGATCATACATACGTAAGGCATCCTGTAATTGGATACACGTAAGGATACATACGAAAAGGTATCCTATAATTGTGTAAATCTATATTGATACCAAATGGATATTGAACAGGTATCAAATAGTTACCAAATAGTTACCAAATAGTTACCAAATAGTTACCAAATAGGTATCAAATAGTTACCAAATAGGTATCAAATAGTTACCAAATAGTTACCAAATAGTTACCAAATAGTTACCAAATAGGTATCAAATAGTTACCAAATAGGTATCAAATAGTTACCAAATAGTTACCAAATAGTTACCAAATAGTTACCAAATAGGTATCAAATAGTTACCAAATAGTTACCAAATAGTTACCAAATAGTTACCAAATAGGTATCAAATAGTTACCAAATAGGTATCAAATAGATAAATATTTAATGTTTAAACGTAACATGCGCACCAATCAGCAAGTAAACCAAAAAAAAAAGTGGAGCGCAACTTCTAGAAAAAAATTACACGCATGTACACTATAGTAATTTTTTTGAGAAAAAGTGAAAGGTAATTGAGGATGAATTTTACTAGTTCCCCTAAATCTTACTCATCTGAGTAAACCAGATGAGTAAGATTTAGGGGAACTAGTAAAATTCATGCTTTATGCCGTGTAGCAATTTTACTAGTTCCCCTAAATCTTACTCATCTGATTTACTCAGATGAGTAAGATTTAGGTTTTAGGATGAGTAAGATAAGAAGATACTTAATGGAAAGCTGCTTAAATATTCTAATTTGACTTTTTGCACTCGCGTTCATAAATCATTATCTATTGATGCTATGGTCATGAAATCTTGAAAATATACAGAAAATTATGTGAATTTTCATTTTAAAAAAGAAATTAATCGTTTTCCTCTACAAATAACAGAAATATGAGTCTAGAAAAAAAGAACGGGTTATTTCTGGTCATCCTGTATTGATCGATCAATGTGATCAATATCAATTCTTCATTTGTTATAAGCAATAGTGCCAAGTCGAGTGTTGATATGTCATAATCGGTAAAAGTAAGGCAATAAGGCCTACTCTGGCGGCAATGGAATTGTCGGTGTAGCTCATTGTTAGAGCATTCGCCCGATGAGCGAAAGGTCATGGATTCGAATCCCGGCGCCGATCATTTCTTGTATTCTCGGCCCTATCCCATAAAAGGACCGGCGTTTCCAACTAATGCAACCATTAAAATAACCATTATTTATGAGCTATAACTTGAAATTTCAAGATTTGCACCATTCTTTTCTAGTTTCTGATGAGTTTGACTAAACTGACTAAACAAGCTTTTCTTCAATGAGAATCTTTCAATTTTCCAGGCTGAGTTACTTCTATACGTCCTCCTTTTTGATAATGATGGCCGTGTTGGTCAGCTTTAAGCAGGTAAACAAAAAGAAAACACGATAGCAAAATTTCGTTTGCTGTGTAAAACAAAAAGTTTGTTTCAAATTTAAGCATCACTCAATAAAGGCTGACTTTCACTATCTGGCTTTGAATAGATCTAAAATATTAGACTATTAGATCTAAAACACTCGACTACTCTCCAAAATCCATTTTTCCTTTCAGTTCGGCGGTCGTCCGTTGGAGTGCTGGGTGCCGGCTCAGTTCACCGCCTCGTGGGAGGCATACACGGAAATGTACTGCTGGGCACAGAACACTTATTGGGTTCCCATTGAACAGGTCAGAGTTATCAAGCTCTAATAATGAAAACGTTAATTCAAACATAGCCATACAACAAACACCGAATGTTAATCGTTCAGAGTAATCGATTGAAATTTGAATAGCTGAATTCTCTCTAAACTTTGCAACACAGTTTCAACTCAATTTACAGGACATTCCGGTGGATATCAGCGAACGCGAGTATCGACAAATATCATATTATCAATGGGTGCCGTTTTTTCTTTTGATACAAGTAAAAGATCAATTTTGTTATTGGAAATCGAGAATGTTTAGGCTTTTTTGTATTATATTCCTTGTTTAATGTGGCGATTGATGAGCGATAAATCGGGTGAGTGAAAAGAATGTGAATAAAAGTGAAAGAATAAAAAGAATAAAGGTGAACAATGATTTTCATTGAAAAGTAAAAGATTTCAAAAAAGTAGCTGATGAAATTTGTGGAACTAGTTTCAATCATGTTTTTTAAGCTAAACAATTCGTTGAAAAGGGTAGATAAATTGTTTGGTAATTAACAGTAAACTAATAACTTACTTACGAACAAATTTTTCCTTTTTCCTTTTTAAGGAATTCGTCTAAACGATATTGTGCAAATGGCGACCGAAAAAGAGAATATCGAGCCGGACTATCGGATACGAACGATCGAGTCACTCTCGAGACACATCGAGTCGGCGCTGAGGTTTGTGAAAAGGGAAAGCAATTTATTGATTGTGTTCTCAGTTTTGTCCATTTCTAATCTACATTAGTGAAAAGCATTCAGCATTAACACATTCACGACAATGATTAACACATTTTTGATTTTTGTCTAAGTCATTTCCCTTTCAGCTCGTCTAAAAACACCCACAGCCAACCGATTTACTTAAATTCGAGCTCAAAACGAAGATAAATGTTTAAGGATCATTTATCTGAAAACTGTTTAAAAAAATATTCACTTTGAAGGGAGTTATGAACCTTTGAATGCAAATGAATTCCCGGGTGATCCGGGAAATTTTTCATGCTAAACCATTCTGAACTTTCTTCAAACTCAATATTTCTTTAGTATGTCTTCAGATGAATTTCTCTTCATTCTCAAACATTTCTCTTCATTTTGACCTCTAAATTAAGTAAATCGGTTGTCTGTGAACGTTTTTCGACGAGCTGAAAGGGGAATGACTTATGCAAAAATCAAAAAAACCTCGTCGTGAATGGTTAAGAACATTTTCGAAAGGTTTCATGACCATAGATCAACCGAAAACTGGCAAACAATCCTCGACAAAGAAACCCACCCATTTTCAGATATCAACACACAGCCACTTCTCGTACTCAATACACGCTTCATCGAGTTTTCAAATGTTTCAATATGCGATATTATGAGAGTTATGTGACTGGGCTCTATTTGGTAAGGGATTTTTAAGTCAAATGTTTTGAAAAAAGTAGCATAGTACCGTTTTTGTCCTTGTTATACATCAAGTTCCAAGTTTATCAGTATACTATTATCGAAAAAGCTTTCTTTGTTTTAATCAACAAGCCAGCGAGCAGGCCACTTCAAGCTCTGTGCTCTGCGTGGCTCTAAAAACTAGACTTGATCAATCCGTAAAGCAACCCGAAGCGTTCATTCTTAGTAAAAGCTTAATAATCATTAATTAAAGCTAGGCTTTCTTTCAAAAATTTCTCCTCAATTTTTCATGTTTTCGTTTAGGCGACAAAGATCATGTACGTGGGGAATATTCTCACGAATCTCGTCCTCGTCAACAAATTTCTCGAAACTGATGACTATTCTGTTTACGGATTGGGCGTTCTGAGGTATAAAGCAATTCAATTTATAATGAAAATTGAAAAGAAAACAACCTACCGTAAATACCGTAATAGTACCCCGCCCCCCTCGTACAGTCGCGTAGTCGCAAAAGTTTTTTAGTATTTCATTTTTTTCAAAGCGCCCGTACTTTCAAAAAATGCGTCTTTGGTATCAAAAAATAGCTGAAATTCAGGGCTATTTTTTGATACCAAAGCGCGCATTGTAGCATAAACCAGTGTCGAGAAAAACTCGTTCAAAGCTAGACTACGCAACACTCCGCATCGTCATTATGGGGGTGGGGTCCAATTACAGTATTTACGGTATTTTCATTCTATTTTCATCCGATTTCAATACTTGTAAATCTAAAATATATAAAAATTCTTTGAAACTATTAGGTTAGTGAATTGAAAACTGCGGGACTTTGAACTTTGAACTAAAATTTATTGAACATAAAACCATCAATTGATTCCAAATAATTTTCATTATTATTGACGACTTCTGCCCATTTTAAATACAATTTGCGGATTCCTCTTTCGTAGTAGGATTTTGGTTTGTGTGTGAGACAAGTGTGAGACTCAAAAATGGAGGACTGGAGATGTCCCAGTTTGAGCACTTTCTTCAAAAGAAACCCATTTTGGTGTCAATAGAAAAGTTGTAGAGAATCAAAAATTAGGCTTATAGCCAAATTTCCAAAAAGATACACTTAGTAGTTTCGCTTAAAATGCAAGTTTTGTGAAAATTCGTGAATTTGGCATTTCTTGAAAACCAGTTTTTGAATCGTTCTGAAAATTTGGATATAAGCTTGATTTTTGATTCTCTACAACTTTTCCATTGACACCAAAGTGGGTTTCTTTTGAAGAAAGTGCTCAAACTGTCACATATGACAATAGCCGGCAGTTTTCAATTCACCAACCCAATAAATTGTTTGCTTTTTATTTTTGTTTATTCCCTATTTTTCCAGAGATCTTCTTTTCGGTCGAAGTTGGATGGAATCCGGCAATTTTCCACGTGTCACTTTGGTTAGTGGAATAGAAAACTAAATAACTTGAAAAATTTTGAACAAATATTGCTTTCTAATGTTTTAAAATAAAGTTAACCAAGGTAGTTTGAAGATTTGAATGAATTTTGAGTTTAAAATTAATTCAGCCACTTCAGTCTGTTACTTGACAAACTAGGAACTTACTATTGGGGTCGGGGAGAATCAAATGGCGCGGAGAATCAAAGAGATTTTCTAAAAACTTCTAGCAGATTTCGTCAAATAATACGCGTTTGATATGAGTAGAAAGGTTAACTAATTCTCTACAAAATGACATTTAAAAGAGAACTCAAATAGCGCCTCACCCTCAACAAAAGACCATTTTTTTCACACAAAAAAATCTTTAAACTGTCATCTAGAGAAAACGGTTGGAGGGATCTTGCTGAAAATTTGGGAACCTATGTAATTGAGTGTGCTCTATCTTTCTTTATGTAGACACCAAAGGAGGTTTATGTGGAAGAAACTGTTCAAATGATGGGTTGGCATTTGCCTCTTTGCCATTTTGACTAGTTGTGTTTGGGAGTCGATAAACTCTAAAGAAAGAAAAGCTTTGTGAAATCTCTCAAAAGTCATTTTATAGATAAATAGTGAAGCCTTTTGATGAAATAAAACGCGTATTTAAAGAAAGCTTTATGCATGCAAAAAAAGTCTCTTTAAAGTTCGGCGCATTCTCTCCAATCCAATAATCAATGAGCAATCTAAAGATTTTGTTGACTTTTGTAATCTAATTTCTATCAGTTATATGATTTTGAATGAGTAAACGAGCAAGTAATCTCTCAAAAGTCATTTTATAAAGAAATAGTGAAGAAATAGTGAAGCCTTCTTCCAATTCTAGTGCGATTTCGAGGTTCGGGTACTCGGCAACAATCAACGACATTCCGTGCAGGTGAGCTTTGTTTTATTGACAAAAGTTTTGGTTTCAATATTTTTGCCTTCAGTTTAACCACCATTAGTTTCATAAAATTGTTAGCTTTTAGCTTAAGAAGATTCTAGTCAAATCCAAAGCAAAGCTAAAAGAGTTTTCATCTAATAAATCTGATTTCAAAGGACATCAAATACCATAAATACTCTAATCGAATGCCACCCCCATAATGACGGGCGTATAGTCGCGTAGTCTAACTTTGAACATCCAGTTCTCCGCGCTACTTTAAGCTACAGTGTGCGCTTGGGTGTTAAATGATAGCTCTTGAAATCTAGTATTTTTTGGTACCAAAAGCATAGTTGAGAAAAATCTAGGGACTGAGAAAGAAATGTTTTTCTAAAAAGAAGTTAGCGACCGTACGAGGCGTTCTATTAGAGTATTTAATCATTCAATTCATTTCTAAAAATCATTTCAGTTCAGTTCTAATCAGTTCTAATCATTTCCTTATATACTTTTCTTAATGATGTATTTGCTATCTAACAAAAACAATATTCTAGTGTGTTCTTGTGATCAACATTTTCAACGAGAAGATCTTCATCTTGATCTGGCTTTGGTTTTCCCTTCTTTTCGTGGCCTCAACTCTTGACATGTTGTACTGGTTCAGCATTTCACTGTTTCATCGGGATCGGTGAGTGCAAGATGAGCAAAAAGAAACAAAAAAAGTTGTCTTTTTCTCAAAGATGTAAAGACGTTTATGACTAACTCTATAGTTCCTCCTAAACAGTTAAAATTAAAACTATTGTATAGTAAATTGATGCAAAAGTATAGGTTTAGCGTTTAAAGTGTAGCCAAACTCTCTTTCTTGAATCCCACGTACGTACCCTGGCTTATCTTGAAGACTAGACCCTTCCCAGTGGACTGAGGAGAGGGGAGCCTTTGTGTAAAGTGTGCATCACCAACCCTAGTAGTATTGCCCTGCGATTTGATGTTGGAATTGGAATTTGATGGGTAAAGGTTTATTAGGACGAAATTGTATAGTAGATGGAAAAGCGGGTACCAGAGGATCTCCGACTGATTTTGGTGTTATCTGGAAAGTCTCCCCTTTTGGCCCCGCTAATTAAAGACCAAATAGAACTACAGAACAAATAAAGTTAAAATAATATCCGATAAAACATTGCATTAAATCTCCTATTTCAATTCCAGATTTCGTTTCGTTCTTCGGCATCTCGAGCTGACGTCGGATCCCGATAAGCCGGAGTTGTTTCGAAAAGAGAAACGAAAACAAGTCGAGCATTTCCTTCGCACATATCTAAAGGTCTGAAAGCGTTGATAAATGAAAGTCAAAGCTAGCTAAAACTGAATTAAAAGAAGGCAATAAAAAAATTGTGTACCTTCTGAAAGGTATGTGTTAAATGTGTTAAATTTAAACCGCAAAGATTTAAATAATTCTCCTCGTTTAGCAAAATAAGGTAATTGTGGTTCTTCACGAAAATCTCGTTCTTTTCATGGTGAAAAGCTTTTATATGCAAAAACCCAAAGCCAATTCGATTCTCTTGGCTTTTCTTGGGACAAAGTGTTAAAATAAACTCCGGCAATAGATTCTACGACCCTGAAAATCCTGGGGCACAAATTTTTGACACTAAATCTCATTTTGGGAATTATTTACAGAACAAAAAACTCACTGTGTAAAGTAACGGGTGTTCTTCGTGTGGCCGCGTAATCGCTGGCGACCTGGCATACCAGCCCGGTGTAGGGGGCTTTCCTTTTGGGATCCATAAGGAGAAAGAGCGGTCAGTAGCCGCAACCCACCACCGGGCCGCCCAAAACGCACCCCCCACGAGGCACCAAACAGAACCGGGGTCCAATGGATAAGCCGCCTGTATACAAAGCGAGCGGTGCATCTTCTGCCCGAGTTCGAGTCCTCACAGTGGAATTTTTTTTGGTTATGATTGTTAACGAAACTAATACGAATACAATTTGTTTCTTTTCATTTTTTCATTTCCCCTTCTATTTTTTAATAAAGAAACAAACATATGATAGCTTTTCACAATGAAAAGTCTCGGATTCCCGAGAAGAACTGTAATTGTGGCAACAAAAAGGGGCTATTTACGTACTAAACTAGAGATATGCCGGAGGAAATTTACATTTCTCCTGTTTTGGTTGGCGTTCTGCAGCTGCAGAAATACCAAAAAAAGAAAGTTGAAAGTCTGAAAATTGCTTTGAACTAATCTCATCAATTTCTAGGTCGACGGGGTGCTAGTGTTGAGGATGATCGCCCTGCACGCCGGGGTGATGTTCTGCACGGAGATCACGGACGCTTTGTGGAAGAGGTGAGTGAAAAGAAGAGAAATATTGCTTCTAGACACTTTGTGAATAGATTTTCAGAAATATTATCCAAAGCATTAAGTAGCTTTTGTTGTTCAGATACCTCTCCCAACACCCAGAAAATCTCATCGACGAAGACTCGAGTCTGATCAGTTTCGCTAGGTGAGTTTGTTTCAAATTTATCAAGCTCGGGAAATTTTAATCTCACAATCAGCAATGGATCGTTGAATCTTGAGTATTGAATGGCTTGAAAGTTTCAAAATATTTTGAATGTTCCAAAGTCATACAGATATTAGGTTGAGGAAAAAGTAATGTCTGTTTATTGCTCTGTTTATTGCACAAAACTGTTTATTGCTAAAAACATAAACAAACGCACATCAATCAATGATCAATCAATATTCTCAATTATTATTGATGATTTGTTCCCATCTACAGTACTGAACAATGAAATATCATATTTGAAAAACGATCGTCACTTTCGCGCGTCTGTAACTCCCTTGTCTTTGAGTTTAAACTATTAGTGTTATACATTTTCTGAAAGCTCTTTTCAAGGGCTACACGGGTAATATTAATATTTAGAAATACGGGAAAGACAAGGGAGTTACAGACGTGCGAAAGTGACGATCGTTTTTCAAATATGATATTTCATTGTCCAGTAGTGTATGTCGCAAGTCCCCAAGTCCCTGATGCCATCCTCAAAAAAAATGGAGAGTTTTCGAGCTAAAATAAGTGTCGACTTCTTTTTTTGATCTGTGCATGATTCTCGAACTTTTCTCTCATAAGAAAACTCTTCAACGACCGAAACAAAAAATAATCTGATGGGTCAGGTGTGGACCAAAAGGTGCGTGGAGCAGAAGTTTCCAAGCAAGCTCGTCGATTTCCCTTATCATACCACAAAGCGGCTCGAAGTCGAAACTTTTCGTCTTGCATTTTGTACCTGAAAGTATTGTTAAATTTGTAAAAATCAAATATAATATGAAAGTATACAGGGTGCGCCATAATTATTGCAACAAGATACTCAAGGCATTGCACACCAAGAAGTTTCACTGGAAGAAGATTTTTAAACAGAAATAGCTTTATTTAACGGTAAAAAATAAGGAAACAAGAGATCATTCGATATGACGGCCTTTTGCCTTGATAACAGCCCTTAATCGGTTCGGATATGCCTCCACTGCGGCCCGAATGTCACCTTGAGGAGTCGCCTTCCATCCTTTGGTCAAAGCCTTCTTCAAGGTCAAAGAGCAGACAATAGCGTTGCAAATAATTATGACGTTGCAATCTTGTTGCAATACGCACGCGCGTTTAGGAAGGATACTCAGTCATCGGTTTGTTCAGCGTTCATCAAAGAGCAGACAATAGCGTTGCAAATAATTATGACGTTGCAATCTTGTTGCAATAATTATGACGCACCCTGTAGAAGTGTCTAGGTGATATCAATTTGAAAAAAAAATAGCATAAGCAAAGAAATGGAAAATTGCCAACAACGGGAATTCAAAACCGACATTACTTTTTCCTCAACCCAATAGAAAAGTCATTTTTGAACAAAATGAATATTGGAAATTTGAACAATTTACAGTTTTCGACCTCTTAAACCTTTCATTTTACTCAAAAGTTGAATCTGAAAATGAAATTGATTCAATCAAGCTAAATCTAAATAAAATTTTGACAATCTATCACCTTTTGGCGTAGTTTACTCGCATTTTCAGAGCTCAATCGATTCGCCGGAAACGACATGAGAGCCCCGGCGGTGGGGGACCCGATCCGAATACGCACGCGCGTTTAGGAAGGATACTCAGTCATCGGTTTGTTCAGCGTTCATCCATTCGCAACATTTGTACATTCAAAAATCATTCACGAGTTCAAAATGTTCAATTACAATTAGAAATTACATTGATATGCCCGGGAAGTTCATTTCAAAGTTAGACCAATAAATCATTGACCAAGTGGGGTAATCTTGAATTAGAAATGGACACGATAAACGTAAACTAAAACCCTTCTAAATTGCTTTAAATCTGCTTGGATTGACACGATGTATAACTCAAAAAAATCGAGAATCTCAAGAGCTTTCGAATCGACTAAAGCTCACTCGAAAATATGAATGCTAAAGAAAGTTACAGTGGTTTGTAGTCCTGACTCGATGACTTCGACTACGCGCGAGTACGGTCCATTTCGAGTCAGGCCTACAAACCACTGTAACTTTCTCTAGCATTGATATATCTATTCAAAAGCTCTTGAGATTCTCTATTTTTTGAACTATAAATCATGTTGATTCGGCAGATTTGAAGCAATTTAGAAGCGTTTGCAGCGTGAGAGTTCGTCATTTTTGTAGTTTATAGTGCCCATGTTTATTTTGAATCAATTTTCGAGTTAGTGTCATTTCGTACAATTTTAGCACTAAACATTGGCAAACATTTCATAAGACGCAACCCATTTTCGAAATTTTTACTTCAAATTGCAGAACTGGTGGTAGCTTTCGCCTCAATCGAACACAAAGCACGAACCGATCGCTCAACACAGACTCCACCGGGGCGCCGAGTGTTCCCGGTGCACAATCGGCTGCCGTAAGTTGTTTTTAAAACGCTCAAAAATGCATTGCTTATTTAAAACATAAAAAGTTGCAACTAAAAGCTAAAAGAGTAATCAAAGGAATGCAGACTGCTCAAGCATAAGTCTCAAAATTATCAAGTGACTGAGGGGATTTAGCGAACCAGTTGCTTGTTTTATGTTAGATTGTTTTTCAAATAAACCAAATGAAAGCTAGACCGCTTCTTAAACCCCATTCGCACCTAGAAACTCAATTTTTATCTCCAAAAATGTCTCATTTTTCTTTTCAGGACCGAAGAGCCATCATGAGGTAAAAGTGATTGAAAGATTTTCCACAAAATGTTTCGAGATTACGTTTAGATCTCAGCGTTCAACTATCCCCAAATTTTCCCAATCACAACCAAATGAGTAAAAAAAAAAATCTATTGCAAATGATTCATGATTTCTAAAAGATTTTCGAATACAGTCGAACCTCGTTTTATTTGATCTAATAAGGTTCCAATACGGTTCCTGTTTTGATCTAATAAGGTTCCAATACGGTTCCTGTTTGGACCTAATATGGTTCTAATACGGTTCCAATACGGTTCCTGTTTGGATCTAATATGGTTCCAATACGGTTCCTTTAATGGATCTAATATGGTTCCAATACGGTTCCTGTTTGGATCTAATATGGTTCCAATACGGTTCCAATACGATTCAGTCTTTTGTTTCAACTTCAAAAATCATTTGGCAAGTAAGGTCGATGTTCGACTGTATTTTGAAGTTCTAATTTACTCAAATAGCTCGATCCTTTTAGAAGTCCATCACTCGGCCGGCCAGTGCACTTGGTCGTGTGAAGCCTAGGCGAACCGTCGTCACGATAAGCAGTCCGAATGCTGAGGATCCGGCTACATCAGGACTCGACAGTGCGGTCAGTTTTTGAATTGAAGAGATGCAAAAAAAACGTTTTTCAGCTTGACGAGAACTCGAAGAAAGAGAACGTGGCTCTAATCGTCTGACTAGGCCTCTCGCAGACTCTTCAACGAGTTTTCTCCCTTAAAAGCAATAAGTACTGACACTTGTTTCTTTCAAGGTATACATTGAGCTTAAAAAGGCTGTAAACGCCTCCTTTCTGGTGCGCTTAGTTCTCAATATTTCTACAGAAAGCATATCACAATGAAAAATGAAAGAATTTAATCCACCAGATGCACAGTGAGTACTTTATGCGTTGAAAAAATGTAAACGCAAGTCTTCTAGTTTAATTGTTCATTTTCCTCTAATTAGATTTATCCGAAGAAGAGAAATAAAGGATCTAGTGCACTAGAAAGGTTTTGTTTACATTTCTCAAAGTACACCTTAAAAGAACAAGTCGATTAGGTCGTTTCGATTCTTCTATTTTCTCATTGTTACTACCTATCCATTGCTTTTCCCAGGCTTTTCCAGAAAATCTTTTCATTTCTTTTCATTTCTTTTCATTTCTTTTCTTACTTTCATTTAAAATCAGCAAATGCATCAATTTCATTAGAAAATTTAGAAAACTCAATTATTTTTCTAAAAAATAACATTAAAACGGGTTTAAAATGTCTCATTTTTGGACTTTTTTTGCGAGCATGAAGTCGGGTAGTCAAAAAGGCTACACGGAAGACTTGATGTTACGGTTTAGACACTTTCTTTGAACCTTTCTTTGAACCAAGGAAACCTTTCTTTGTGTCTATAGATTTTTAGTAGCCTAGATTTTTTGGCTAGATCGCTAAAAACTGAATATATGTAAAGAAGGGCAAGGCTAGGATCAGATCAAATTCTCCTGGACCAATTCAGGATATGTAAGGCTAGGTTCAGACTTCTGTATAGCTTTGCTGAAGATCTGGTTCAAAAAGCGATGCTTAGTCAGATCTAAATCAGTTTACAAAGTCGCAACAAAGTCACAACAAAGGTTTAGACACTTTGCGCTAAGAAAACCTTTTTTTGTGTCTCTAGATAAAAGATAGACCATAAAAAGTTTAGTATATAGCCAAATTTTTGGAGAAATTCATTCGGCTATTTCTCTTCGTAGAGGTTTTTAAAGATCTACGAATACTACGAAACTACGAAAAACACGCTTTTCACTCTCGTATTTGCTTAAAAGTGAACCCAAATTAGCTTAAAAAAGATGGGAAATTGAACAATAAACACTTTTTATTTGGAGAAAATTATAGTTGAATTGTTGAATTTGTTATTTTTCAATGAAAGTATGAACGAAAAAACTTTCTGGACAGCTAAATATCCTTTTCTCAATCATTTCTCTTTTTTTCTTTTATTCATCCATGAAAAAGTCTTTCAACGAACGTTTCCTCTGACTTCGTTTTTGCATTTTCATTTCATTTTTTTTGAAACTTTAAACTCAGCTTTTCTCACCAAATCTCCAGAATCTATGGGTAAGCAAAAGAATTTTTTTTTTTGAATTCTCAATTTCGAATCACAACCTTTTCCTAGTAAACGCTAGCAGAGTCTCCAGAAATTTTTCACAAATTTCTTTTTCACTGCGATATTTTTCACTTCTTCGCAAATCAATTTTCACTGTTTATTTGTGTTTTTCAATGAGCTTATCCTCAAGAAAATAATCTCAAAATCTGAAAGTTTTCTGGGAAAGAGAAGGTTCAAGTTTTATGGGAAAGAGAAGGTTCAAATTTTATGGGGTTAAGTGAGGGGGAAGTGTGTTTAGTTGGCAAGAAATTTGGCATTTTACATTTTGCATTTTGTACTTTGCATTTTGCAAAATTTTAGAATCAAATGACAACTTACACTGACAACTATTAGGTTGATGCAAAAGTCTTTTTCATTTTTTTCGTACTTCCGTTAAAAAGTAACAAATGCACCAATTGAACAACGGTTTATTGCATTCGAAAGGCCAATTATTTTTCTGCAAAATGACATTAAAACGAGTTTAAAATGTCTTATGTCTAGATTTTTTTGAGAGCCTGAAGTCGGGTAGTCAAAAAAGGCGACGGCTCGATGATGCATTTTAGACGCTTTAGCTAAGGAAACCAATCTTGATGTTAATAAATAAAAGATAGAGCACAAAAAGTTAGATATTTTTTGCAGATTTTCAGAGAAATTGATTCAGCCAATTTCTTTATAGAGGTTTTTATAGATTTTTATGAAAAAAACCCGTTTTCACTCTCGAATTTGCTTGAAAGTGAACCCAAATTGACTTAAAAAGATGGGAAATTCAACAATAAACACTTTTCATTTAGAGCAAACCATAGGTTAATTGATGACTTTGTTATTTTTCAAAAGAAGTACGAAAAAAATGAAAAAGACTTTTGCATCAACCTAATAGTAAACTAGCTATGTTTAGTCCTGCAAAAGTTTTCGGTACTTCTCAGCTATGTCCACGACTTTTGAAACCAGCCAAGTCCAGGGCTCGGGTCCATCAACTGCTAAATTTAGCTAAATTTAGTTTTGCAAAATTCAACGGCTCCACCAACGCATTTAGCAAGTTTGGATTTACCGTAAATACTGTAATTGGACCCAATGGGGTACTATTTTCTCCCTCCCCCTCTAGGGTGGGGTACTATTAGAGGGTGGGGAAAATTTTCAAATTCAAACGCAATGTGTTTGTTTGCAAACTTTTCCGTCACAGATAAATTAGGAATAGAATAGAGAAAATTGGAAAAAGTTACATTTTTCTATATATGCCTACATACCTACTCAATTTTGACGGCAACTTTAGTAATAATAACGAAAACAAAAAGTGATGTCACAACTTTAGCCGTAACAAAAGCTTATCTTAGAAGGTAATGTCTTAATCAAAAATCGTCATTGAACTTTACTTTTTCCAGAGAATCTTTTTATTTTTTTATTTTTATACGCCCAAAGATCCGATCTTTATCCGGTGGTCTCAAAATTGATTCTTTTTCTCAATTTCTCCCTTCTCGGCGACCTCGATTGTGCCAAAATTTCTAGAGCTTTTTTCCCATTCAAATCTCTTTATTTTCTTGAAACTCGCAAATTCCCATTGATTCATTTCCATTTTTTTGATCCTCGTTGTTGCCTTTACTCGATTTTATTCATTTTCTTTTGTCTCTTTATATTGCATTTTTTTGTGTTTGGAAAAGATTAATAAATGAAATATTTTATTGATCAAGGGAAGAAAAGCACTGAAAAGTTTTGTCTTTAAAGTTGAAAGGAATAAAAGTATAGAATAAAAGTGTTCTCGAAAGTTTGGGTCTTCTAAAAGGGGGGCAGTCAAAACAGCGCCATAATAGAAAACGTTCAAAACAGCGCCGTCAAATTTCTCCAAATCCAAAAAACCAAGCCGGTTCAAGTTTTATATCAAAAAATTCCTTGCGTTCTTGGCTACATGATGGGTGAAACAGTTTTTTAAAAAAGTTAATATTTCATAGATAAAAAGAGCACTCAAAATGGGTCTCTAAAGGTATTCAGTTAACCAACTGAGTATCACTCGACACACATTTTGAGTGCTCTTTTTATCTATGAAATATTAACTTTTTTAAAAAACTGTTTCACCCATCATGTAGCCAAGAACGCAAGGAATTTTTTGATATAAAACTTGAACCGGCTTGGTTTTTTGGATTTGGAGAAATTTGACGGCGCTGTTTTGAACGTTTTCTATTATGGCGCTGTTTTGAACGTTTTCTATTATGGTGCTGTTTTGACTGCCCCCCTCTAAAAGTATACCTGAGAACAACTACTGAACAACTACTGAAAACCATGGCTTTGTAGCTTAGCAAGTAAAAACGTTCAACGTCGATATCGGAATTCTGATAATCCTGATAAAGATAGTGAAAGTTTTTGCCGTAAAATTGAGGCTTTAACGAATTCGCGACGAATTTTCTGATATTTTTCTCTTCAAATTCCACCAAATATCTTTAGTCAGGGGCTTTTGAGAGTGAAGAATCCTAATCCAAAGTTTGTTTTTATTTTGCTGTGTAACCAGCTAAAAACTTGGGGTAAATTGAAACGAAATCGATCAAAAAGCGCGAAACTGGCAACAGTTTTTGCGGGCATTTTTTGCGGACAACAAAAGAAGTACGCGAGAAAGCGCGTGATTCGGAAAACGTAAAAATTTTACACAAAAATTAGAGTTTTTATGTTTCTGTAATCACGAGCTTTCTTGGTACGCGGAAAAAAGGGCAACGTTGCGCTCGGTTAGTCGAAAAAGCAGCTATATCTCAGCGGGGGTTTAAGATTTTTGAAAGCTGACTTCGGATTTGAATTCCCCATCCCAAAACCCCACCAGCTTGTTTGTTTTCAGCTTATTTAGTTAGCGAAATCAACAAAAAATGGTCCGGGTCGTCACGAATGTGAAACAAATTCAGTTCATCACTTTTGAAAACGCTAAGATGCACTTTTGTCACCGTTGGAAAAACGAATTGAGCTGAATATTATTCGTTCCTGTGGATATGGATATGGATAAACGGATATGGATAAACGGATATGGACTAGAATTTGGGCTAAGCTAAAGAGAGTGGATCCTTTTGATATCCCGCCATCTCTAACACCCCGTCAACCCAACTCAACTCCTCCAATGTATTAGAAGGGAGTCCCTGTGAAATGACCGACCTGAACTGCAGTTGCATAGACCCGGAAGATATACATCTTTATTTACAGTAGTACGATAAGACGAATAGATTACAAACGAGTGCAAGGGGAAGGGGGGACTCCAAAATGAGAGTCTCACTTGTCCCCCTAGGCAATCCCAAGGGTCGCCCCTTCTCGGCGATAAAAGGGATAAGCACAGGGGAGAACACATTTGCATAAGAATAGACAAATCATTCAATAATAACAATAGTAACTAAAATATCAGTTCGGCTCGGAGCTGACAATATTGTAAAGACAATTTTCACAACTTGGTTTATTGAATTTAAGAAAATACTAAATTTTAAATTAGATTTTCGAATAATCCTAAAGCTAAAATGAGTGGAAAAGACATTCTCGCAAAGAACAAAATCGTAGAGTTTCGTTCGAGCAAGTTTCAAAGCAAAACAAATGAAAACAAATTCTCCAAAGTCATCGAAAGATCGAAAAATAGTCAAGTATTGAAAAATATCAATAGAAAACTCTTTTAATCGTTTTAAAATCTTTTAGATTTCGAAAAAAAACTAAAAAGAATCAAAATAATTAAAGAAAAGCCGTGTTTCAAAGTTTAGGAAAGCAGCAAAGCAAAAACGAAATCGCCATTTCAAACGCAATGTTTTTGTTTGCAAAGTTTTCCGTCACATGCCAACATTTCCCTCTTGCAACTAATGCTTACGCGAGGAAATTTCCTTCAAAAAAGAAAGAGTAAACAGCAGAGCACATCGCCGCGCGTGCGTTCTCTGCGTCGTCGCACAATCGCGCGCTTTCTGGCACACGGCCCGGATAGGAGTCAAGGCGAAAGGGCGGGAAAGGCGGGCCAAAATCGCCTCATCGGCGAGTGGTCGTGATGGGACCGGCGGTTTCGCCGTCGGCCCATTATCCCACTGCCATGCCACGAATGCCCGTAGGCGTGACCCCCACTCCACCGCGGGCATCCGCCGACAAGGCGGTTTTGGCTCACAAAAAATCTAGCAACACGAAGTTATGAAATTTTTCGTTATGCATTGACGCAACAGTTTGTTTTGGTTAAGTTGAGCAACGGATACTCAAATTGGCATGTAGATTCATTTAAGCCCGAGATGCATCCTGCGGTCCAACAGTATTCTTTAGATTCACGGTCAAAATTGCTTTTCAGCGATTCGACACTGTTTTAGACAAAAACTGTTAGTAAGTTGATAGTAAATAAGTAAGTTTGATCTTTTTAATTTTTTCTTTTTTGTAAAACTTCACTTACAGTCAGAAAGCAATAGACCTACTCCCGAAAAACCATTTTATTTCAAAGCACCCAAATATTCACCAGAAAACACGAATCAAATCAAAAGAAATCGCAAAAATGACAAAGAAGCCGACAACAAAGCTTTTGAGTTCCAATATCACTCACACCAAAAAGAGACGAGATTCAAAGACACAAAAGAAAAGAAAAAAAGAAAGCAAAATGATGGAAAGATAGAGAGAAAAAGGTTTCAGTCGCTAGTTGATGATTACGCATTTCTCTTCAAATGGGCCATATCAATTTCGACTCGATGTCCGCCCGATGAGACAAGCGCGTTGAATTTGTGCCTCACCTCCCAATTGCCGCCGAGATGTGGCTAAAAGGAAAATTTGACAAAGTAAACGTTTTTGCCAAAGACTTTTAAAATTCATCTTTTAAATCGAGTTCCTTAAATTGAATACAACCTAATTCTTTAGAGCTTTAAAAGCAGGAGTTCAAGTATATTTCTGTTTCCAAAAAGTTTCCCCCACCTGCTCAACAATGGTCACACATCCGGGTGGAATAGCGGGCGGTCGATTCGGGCCTCCGTTCACCACCACTTGATAGTCCCTAAAACAAACAATTGGCAGATTAAGCATTATACAAACTTTACAACAGGCAATCACTCACCTGACAGTTAAACGAGGCAATCCAACAAGAGCACGAAGAGCTGCATCAAGTGGACCCGCATCTAATATCACCAAAAGACATCCACGTTGAGAGATCACGATGCTAAAATCAAATTTAATCAAAACATTGTCAATCAACTCAAGTCAAACCATAAGAACTCACTGTTGAATAGTAGACGTGACACGATTCTCGAATTGTAGATACGTTTTCTCGGCTCGCACATCAGCTCTTGTCGTGAACGGTAAGTAGGGAAGCCCTAAATGGACAACTATAGTCTGACCAAAACTCCAGCAGCCCAATTTAGCCAGCCTACTTTACAATTGTACAGTTAAAGAACTTACTTTGTGTATCAGGTGTCGGGAGGGCGTGTGGCGACAATATTTTCACCGGCGGCTGCTGTGCCTTTGTGGAAGTGATTGGGTTCTCGGGCATCATAGCACTTTGCATTGCATCCAACGACAGAAATGGCCTCTCATCGTCGACGATTGCTCGCTGAAAAAGAAGACTTTAATAAAAACAAACAAATATCAATTAGAGACCCTAAAAAATTTACAAAAAAAAGAACACCGACTTGGCGATCGAACGCATCAAGTAGACCCGGCTCCACAAAGATGTTGTTTCGAGTAAATGAACCTAAAAGCACAACGTTTGAAGAGCTAGGGTTAAAAATGCCGCATGTTACTAATACTAATGTATACAAGAAGTTTTTCGAGTAAACAACCTGCTCCGATACTGTTCAGAATGATGCGAGCCGTACGAAAGCATGGAACAGTCGGAGCGATGATTACCGCCGAATAGTAGATCGAGACGGGGCTCAACGCAGCGCCCACTTTTCCAACCATTTCTTCGCCACTCTGAAAAGTAAGGCTTGATTCACAACAAATCAACCATTAGCTCAATAACAGCAGAACCCACCTTTGTCAATCCAGTTGCGTCCGCCTCGGCTGCACTTACAAAGACGACACGACGTTGATAGCGACTAAAAAATGATCAAAAAAGCTTGCAATTAAAGAGCTACTCTTAAAGTTTGTTAAATTTCAAAAAACCCACTCATTGACAGATGGAGGGCACATGTTGGCTGGTGATGAAGCTAAAAAACATTAAGAAAATATTTGTCAAGAAATTTTTGAAGCTTCTCAGCCCTCAAATCTTAAAAGGTAAAATATTTGTACTAAGCTCACAATTTCGTGTCTGGCTATTGCTGCTCACGTCGACCTCAGTATCCCTGTCACTTGTTATCAGCTCTCGGAGATTCCAAACCTAAACACGAAATGGATTTGACTCAACAAGCTGCAGCTGCTCCAATGCTAGCTATGATCTTGTTGCATTAGCAATAAAATCGTCCGTAGCTAACATTTAACTGATAATAAAGAATACGCAAGTCAATAAAAAACTCACTTTCGGATCCAACGTTTGAATGACAGGTTGTGGTCGAATGCGGTGATCCAAGGAAGCGACCGATGAAACAGTTAGTGTAGAGTGAGCGGGTAATGGTTGACGAGATGATGATGGACGAGACGCTGGTGACACGGTCGGTTGTGATTGAATCGATCGAATCGCTGACTGTGACGATCGACTTGACGAAGAGGTTCGCGATTGTTCAGGCTAAACAAAGAGCATTGAAATGTCAACCGACAAACGCGTTTACAATCAAAGTAACAAATTTAGCAATCCATTTATTGCAGTTTACATCCCAGTCAGCAAAGACGCCACTTGATCCTCGATCCTTGATCCTTGATCCCACTTGTTCAAAAGCTCTACGTACCTTTTTTTGACGGCTCTCCTGCGAGTTACTTGGTGGTCGTCGATTCTCCTGCGAGCTTGACCAACTTTGATTCTCTTGTAAATACTAAAAACAAAAATATATAAGTCAACGATTGAAACTAAAAATTCACCTTGCCTCCAAGTTCTTTGCTTGGCTTAGCCTGTTCACGTTTCTCATTGTATGACTGAAAAAGACAATACATACATTTAAAAAATCAAAATATCTACCGCGATTTTGCTACGCTGCTTGTTTGAAAGACTTCCTTTGCCTTTCTTGACTTTGTGCTAAAATAAACAATGAGAAAATTAGAATTTACTCCGTATAGCTTCAAAAGTTAGGGTAAAACAACGAATGATAAAAATTTCACACACTTGAGTTGACTTCTTCGTGCTGGGGCTCTCTTCACCCTAAAAAGTAACTATAAAATGGCGTTTTTAAATGGATGTAAGGTTTAGATTTAAAATCTTAAAACAAAGCCTGTAATTGTTAAAAAACTTTAGAAAAAGCTATATTCTCAAAAAAAAGAGTAAGCATACCTGCGTTGGATCGGATCGCTGGGTGAGAGGTGGTTTTTGCTTTCTGAAATAGAAAAATTTTTGAGTCATAAGTGAATTAAACCAAAGGTTTGGCCATTATAAAACAGCTTTTTTAATGTTCAACGAAATCATACATAAAATTGGATAAAAGTGTAGAACTTTACTGAATTTTAAAAAAAGCGTTTTTTCACTTGAATTTGCTTGGAAACATGTTGCTTTTTATCGGTCCTTTTCGTGTTATGTGTATTAATCTTAGATCTAGCGCACTTTATTTTAGGTCCTGAATAAAGTATCTATATACTAAGCAATGTGCTTAATGCAGAGGTCGGCTAATATTAAAACGAACGTCTTAGCCTTACAACCTTTCAACAAAATTGAGAAGTTTTTATGGAAAATTTTTGACTGATTTTTGATCAATGCCCATCCTAAATACAATTTTTCACACAAAATAACAAAAACTTTTCTTTAAAGCTTTAAAAAACATAAAAATTACCTTTGGTTGACCATTGTGGGGGAGAAAATGTGTGGAATGACTTTTTGAACCAAAATTTCCTTTGAACTGACTTTCCTAGTAAATCGCTTCTTGTAAAATGTAAATGTTGTGTTTTTACATGCAAATCTACATGCATTTTTTTTGAAAAACCACGTCTTTCAGGATATTTATTTAAGTGTGGGTTTGAAACACCGGTGAAAAATCTATAGCAAAGAAAAGAGATTGGGGAGCACGACGTTAAGTGGATAAATAACAATAAGATAAATAAATAGCAGCCATATTGATGAGAATAAATTAGAACAAAGATAATTTCGGACTAACAAGTGTGGAATTGGTTCGAATTTTTCAAGAAAATATTGGAAAAAGCAAATCCCATTCTATTCGTAGTCGGCCTGGGCTCCGCCAGTGGTGTCACCCTCGAATTCGCCCTCGTCCTCGGCGGTCGCCTCCTAGAAGAAAATATTTTTTTCAAAATCGGCGTGATTTTTGTTGGTAATAGACATGGGATTTTTGTAGAAAACGAGTCAGTTCCACGTTTTAGCAAACAGCTCTCCGCTTGCAAACAGCCTAAAGAGTGGATACAATGCTATTTCGAGTTTTAGAAAACAAGAGCTGTTTGCTGAAAGGACTGACTCGTTTTCTACGTCCATGTATAGTTGGCAATGTTGTTTTGGTTCCTACTGATTTTTTTTGGTATTTTTGTACATATTGTAGTTTTTAACAAACTAAGGCTTTATGGGTATCTGACAAAGGCTGTAATTGTCTCCTATCGCATTACAGTCCCTAAAAAACAAAAATTTAGGTGATCTTCGTTGGTTACAAGAGTGTAGTTGTTGCTTTTGTTACTGTTATTACAATAAAATTTGTGATACTGCGAATAATACATTTATCGTTACCTGATATTGTTGATACTCAGAGACGAGATCGTTCATGTTCGACTCAGCCTCGGTAAACTCCATCTCATCCATGCCCTCTCCAGTGTACCAATGGAGGAAAGCCTTGCGACGGAACATAGCTGAAAGATTTGGAGTTACTGTAGGTCTATCAGAATTAAATGTTCAATATTTCAAAGCTCAACTCACCAGTGAATTGCTCAGAGATGCGCTTGAAGAGCTCTTGGATGGCGGTCGAGTTTCCGACGAAAGTGGCGGACATCTTGAGGCCACGGGGTGGGATATCGCACACCTGAATAAATCCATGATCTTTTGGCTTGACCTTTGACTAATAGTTCAGAATTTTTTACTATTCTTCACCATATTTTAGAAGTTTACACTTAATTTTCATTCCAAAATACTCACAGCAGTCTTCACATTGTTGGGGATCCATTCAACGAAGTAGGACGAGTTCTTGTTTTGCACCGCCAACATTTGGTCATCAACCTAAAAATTTTTTAGGTTGGTTTTCAAGTTCCCAATTTGCAATCGCCTAACTCAATAGATTGTTTTCAATGTTGAACATTTTCGATCAAAAAATTCAGTTTCCAAATTTCCAAAAAGGATAGTTTCAAGGCACTAGAAGTGATAACATAATCTGTCAATCAATGAGTAGATTTTAATTATGCCAGTTTTAAAATAAGTCTAATCAGAGATCTTGGCTTAAAAGCAGCTATCAAATTCGTTCACCCCACCTCACGCATGCTCATTCGCCCGCGGAACATCGCGGCCACGGTGAGGTATCTTCCGTGTCGAGGATCACAGGCAGCCATCATATTCTTCGCGTCGAACATTTGCTGAGTGAGCTCGGCAACGGTGCAAGCCTGGAAATTTGAATACAGTTTTATTTGGTTGTAGAAAAAAAATTAAGATAAACCCGTGACCATATTTGAATTAAGTCAAATTCCTAAAAGAAAAAACCACTGATGATTTGTGTTTCTTTAACTTGAAAAAACTTTTTTTGGACAAAAGGAATTTGACTTTGAATTTGGCAAAAGAAAACACAAATCATCAGTGTTTTTTAATGCTGCAGTGGTTTTTTCTATGAACACTTTAGCAATTTGGGTTTGATTTGTCCAACGATTTACACTGGTTACACTATGTTGAAAACTCGTCAACTATAGTTGAAATTAGATTTTAACGATTCAAGTTGGACCACTCGTTTCATGCTTTAGCTATTATGCCTAAAAAGTTAGTTCCAGGCTAGTCAAGTACAAATGAATTTATATTAATTAATTATTTGTATACCTTGTACTGAGCGGTTCCCTTGGCGGAGAGTGGGGCGAAACCGGGCATGAAGAAGTGAAGACGAGGGAATGGAACCATGTTCACAGCCAATTTACGGAGATCAGCATTGAGTTGACCGGGGAAACGAAGGCAAGTTGTCACTCCGGACATCGTCATCGACACTAAATGAATAGTTTGTTTGTTTTTGCTACCGTAAACCCCATATAGAATAATTCTAGTGCAAAAACTAAACAGAAGGTACCAGTGATCTCAAAACTTTAAAGCAGAAGATGCTAATGCCAAATAGAAATTATAGAGAAGCTGAACACTAGCACTTTTTCTTGGCCCTTTTCTACCGTATCAATTTTCTATCCTGCCCTAACTTTGACCACAAAGCAAGTCCAAACTCTAACATGTATCCAAACAACGCTGCGCTAGTACTTAGAAATATGCGAGTTTCAAGCTAAGCAACTATTTAGATGAAAGAGTTGTAAAAATAGTATCCTTGCACTAGCCGATTTGTCCAAGCACCCATTAGCGTACTGTAGTTGTACTAGTACTAGTACTAGTACATTGCTTTGGACTCAACCATCGTATTTTGATCAAACTCACCGAGATGATTCAAATCTCCATAGGTCGGGTTCTGGAGTTTCAATGTGCGGAAGCAGATCTCGTAAAGAGCCTCGTTGTCAATGCAGAATGTCTCATCGGTATTCTCGACCAATTGATGCACGGAAAGGGTGGCGTTGTAGGGCTCGACAACTGTGTCCGACACCTAGAAGACAAAATTCCGTACAAAATTCTCAGTTTCATCTTAAACCCAGTCCAAAGCTGACAATGAGATCTTATTGGATACTTATAACAATAAGAATTTACCTTTGGCGATGGGACAACGGAGAACGAGGACATAATACGATCGGGATACTCCTCACGAATCTTCGAGATCAAAAGAGTTCCCATTCCCGAGCCAGTGCCACCACCGAGCGAATGCGTCAATTGGAAGCCCTGGAATTTTAAAGTTCATAAATTCATGTACACTTCTTTTACATCAAAACCATGTTCCAAAGTTCTCAAAATCATGGTACCTGACTTATTTTCAATTGTCTGGCCGCCTTGAAACAGTACACTAATTTATGTCAAAGTATAAAAGTTCCCCGCTAATCCAATCCAAATCTTTTTCCGCCATGACCGACTGCCTAAGAGCCTTGTATCTTAGTCGGGAGGTCAAGGGTTCGATCCCGCCGGCTAGATTATGCCTTTTTTCCCCATATCTATGGATTTTTTTCTTCCCTATATTTAGGGCTTAGGGGTTGTGCTTGTGTATTGTTCGTACCACATTATGCATGTGAATAAATATAAAATGTAATACCTGAAGGCAATCGCATCCCTCGGCCTCTTTTCGCACCACATCCAAAACATTGTCCACCAATTCGGCTCCTGGAAATGAATTGATAAAATTTTGAGCTCAACCACAAAATCAACCTAAATCGGTTCAAACTTAGAACAAAAAACAGCAATTCGTTTTACTTTTTCAGAATGACTTTGCTAAATGGAAACTTAAATATGCGAAAAATTCTTTTGTTTAAAAACAACTTTCAGGATAAACTTCAAATTCTTAGTTTCAACTTGTGCGACACTTTCTATAAAAATTGATTCTTAACCTAGAGTTGGAAGCTTGTCGTATTCATTTGACGGAAATTCCTGTTCTACGTACAAAAGGTCAGACTTTCCTCAGATTTCGCAAAAGTTCATATTTTCCATTCAAAAACCATTCCACTCACCCTCAGTGTAGTGCCCCTTGGCCCAGTTGTTTCCGGCTCCCGACTGTCCGAAGACAAAGTTGTCGGGACGGAAGATGCTGAAATATAACGATTGAAACAAGCAAGGATTCTTTGAATTTAAGTCTAAAAGTCTAAAATAATAATAATTAGAAGTCTAAAATAACTCACGCTCCGTATGGACCCGATCGAACGGAGTCCATCGTTCCCGGCTCGAGATCCACCAACACAGCGCGGGGGACGTATTTGCCACCTGAAAATGATTCGGTTTCAAGTTTGAATGTGATGCTGTACAGTTTCTATTTAGTAATCGAGCAGCGTACCCATTTCTTATTCATTAGGACTTCCAAACAACTAGCCAGAAATTTTTGATGCTAAAATCCCTGATTTCAACCTAAAGACAATGAGCAAAAGCATTCCTGATTTAATGAAAAGTGGCGTTGCTTAAGCTTAAACTTAAAGGGTAGTACAACAAAACTTCCACTACATTGTACTATTGATCGTTTGATGGCTGCTATGATAATTTGGATACTGTAAGCCTGACTTACTGCATTTAGCTACATTGAAAAATATTCAAGTTACCGTAAATATTCCAATAAAAGAGTCCCTAAAGGAGCGTCGCATGGTCTAAGTTTACTCTCAAATAAACGTTCATATCTCAGCACCAGCACGTTTGTTTCTGCGCGCTTGGGTATCAAATTAAAGTGGAAAGGATTGGTGATTTTTTATAAGATATAACACATATTTTTAGCATTAACCAGCGCTTAGAACAAAATGATTGAAAAATCGGCTTTTTTTGCCACACACCCATCCTTTCTATATTAATTTGATACCCAAGCGCGCAGAAACAAACGTACTGGTGTCGAGATATGAGCGTTTGTTTGAGAGTAAACTTACACAATGCGACGCTCCTATAGGAGCTCTTTTATTAGAATATTTACGGCAAACAATTTGTGCAAAACCCCCACCGCTAGCCTCATTGTAGTAGACACTGATTCTCTCCAATTGAAGATCGGATTCTCCCTTGTACGATCCGTCGGGCTGAATTCCGTGCTCATCCGAGATCACTTCCCAGAATTTCGCTCCGATTTGGTTACCGCATTGACCGGCTTGCACGTGCACGATTTCACGCATTTTGATGAGGAGAGGTTGAAAGATGAGGTGGAACTGAAAATGGAAATGATTAGAAAAGGATCTCAGGTTTCAAATCAAAAGCAAACACAGGCTTCAAAAATTTTTAAAAGGGGGAAAAGTTTTGTTGTCTTTGCGATCAAGAAGGTCAATAGTAAATGTTTGGTTTCAACTTTAGCCTCTTCGAGCCGCGTTCATAAGATTGGTGTCAGATTTCAAGCTTTAGCTTGCATTAGCCCATTTTAAAATCTAAATCTACGCTAAAACCAATAAAAAAAGGTCTTATCTTTTAAAAAATGGGTGAGTCAGCGCCGTTTTTGCCGGTTGTTTGGTATTTATCGATTTTGCATCGACTTTGCCCAAATGGGGATATCTAACCAAGGACTTTTATACTTTCCATGGTAAGTCACGCCAATCAACTATGAAGATTTCAATCTGGTACCCTTTAGCTTGAAACCTATCTTTTAAACACAGCCAATCAAGGCTATCTTTTAAAAATGAAAGAAAATTCAAAAGAAACTCCTAAAATCCAGCGAAAACCTTTGCAAAAACAAAAATTTTAGGAGAAAATGGTGAAAAATCTTTAGGAACAAGTGGAAATTGCGAAACGCGCGGACTGGTACGACTCAAAAAGAGCGCGGGAAAATCGAATGGGGAAAAGAAAATGAGAAAAGAAAAAAAATGGAAAGGGGACGCCGACCGCTGCACGATCCGGCTACAGTAGGATGGGATTTGAATTGGGGCGCGAGATAGAATGGAGAGATTACAGCCACAAAGGTATTGGCGGGTTTTCGTGGACTATGTGCGTTTTTGCAAGCTGTTAATGAAATAAACAATATTGAAAAAAATGTTTTTCAGATCTTTGAAAGTTCTGGGGAAAGTTTAATTCGCATTCACAGCGGAATGCTTGCAAATTTCGTACAGTTTTAAGCCATTTTGGTAAAATTTTGGTACAAAATTGTGTTCTACAATGAAAATGTATTCAATCAAGGATAAAAATGAAAACAAAGTACTCCAAAAAACTCATTTCAGTTTAAAGAAACCCAGGATATCCCATGGAGGGATTTAGGGGATTAAAGGATTTAAAGGAGTTTAGGCTTACAAATATTTTAAGTAAGTATTTAGAACTACTGATTGACTCAGTTTTTATTAGCTCAAAGTATTACAAAGTAATTTTGTTATTGAGAACATTTGCGAAAGAGTGGACAGATCTATGTTGAAATCTTTGTATTTTCCCGCAAAAATAATAGGCTATCGCTGTTCAAAGCCTAGTGGATCGTATCAAAAAGAACGTTTCAACATAGAGCTGTCCGCTCTTTCGCAAGTGTTCTTAATTGACAAAAATCAGTGGTTGATGATCGCAATCATCAGCGCATTTCGCAATCAACTTGAAGAGATCTTTTTGAAAAGAAACTAGATTTTTATGATTAAACGACGAGAAAAAAAAGTACAATTTGTGAATGCAACAAAATAAAAGGTGGCAAATTGAGGGCTCGAAAAAGGGTTGTAAGTCACCAATGATTTGCTAACGAGTGGTGTTGATTTAGAAATTACAAAGGATAAATCTGGGTAAGTAGAATATTTTTAATAAGCTTAGAGCAAAAGATAGATATCAGCAAAAGATATCAAAAATTTTCAAGCTTTAACAATTGATGATTGGCTAGGATGATGATTTGAAAATTGCTCATTGGCTAAAATGATTTCTCAAAAGTGGTGGAGATGGCTCTTATCAATCTAAATCAATTAATCAGATAAACATTATCAAAATACCTAAAATTTAGCTTTTAAAAACAAATCAAAACTATAACAGATCATTCAGATCATTAAAAAAAAGACATATTGTAAAAATTGAAAGGACAAGAGAATCAGCAAAGAGTCAAACCTTCCAGGAACAGAAAAATGAACTTTTCTCTCAAGATAGTTTGCTATTTATAATAGAAAACATCTGTTCGTTTTAACAATTCCCCAGGTTATCACATTTTTAGATGCCATAAGGAAATATATCAAAAATTGCTCACAATCTCGGCAAATTAGAGACAACTATGACTTTAATTGTTAAAAATTAATAACTGTCGCAATGGCTTCATTGGATTAATTAACCCAAGGCTAGGGATTACGGCAATTTTCTAACACATCGACTTAACAAAAGAAATATCGAGCTTTAAAATGTAAAGTGCAATGTTTTAAAGTGGGCAACAAGATTGACACCTTTGGTTCTTTGCTTTGATTTGTTTTGATTTGATTTGATTGATTCCAAAGCATGAGATTTGTTTTGAGAAGCATTCCTTCTTTAGCTTCTCACCATCAACAATTTTTGCACGCATCGTCAGAAAACTTATTCTCAAAGCAATTAGCAATCCACAAGGCACCGCTAGATAACTTTTCTCAGAGATCAAAATCGTAGGTAACGCTCACTTCCTTCGCGTTTTTTGCTGGAAAGGCGGGGAACCCATTCAAATGCCTAAAACCACCGTAACCCATGATAAGCCTTTTTAAAAATGCACGCCTAACGGCTGCTTTAGAAATTGTGAAAATGATTGCCAAAAACGACTTTCCTGTCTCGAAAACCTCACCATGCAAATTTCAGCGTAAAATGCAAATTGGCACCCATGGTCTATTGGATAGCTTGCCACACGCTTACACGACCCGGGTTCGATCCCGATCAGTGACCAACTACTTTGACTTTTTTTAAAAGGCACAACTACAGCCTATTCTAAGCTACCTCCGAAAGTTTCAGCTCAATCGGACCACATCGGACACTCAATCGGACAATTAAGACCCAATTTTGCTGCGCGCAGACAGAGACTTTATTTTTTTTATATATGTAGAGATTATATTCTAAAAGAATAATTTTAAAAAATGTGAAAATCAGACTTAAGAAAAAGGTGCACTGACTTAACTTAACTAGGTGTCAAATAGAAAGCACTTAACTACTTAACACTTAACCTAACAATTAGGTGACAACACTGACTTTCCTTAGGCCGGAGTATCCCTTTAAACATTCCAAAGGTTTCCTGCCCTATCGCGCAGATTAGTGTCAAATAGAAAGCACTAAACGTAATGCTCAGTACAAGTAGATGTATTCTCTCCTCAATTAGAATATCACTCAAAAATTTGCCTACACCAGCGAAGAACTACTTTTTCTCTAATCGCTTCTTTTAACTTTTTTTTAAAAAGTGACACTTCCAGCAAGAAACAATAATATTTAATGTTAAATACCAAAAAAATTATACACAATATTTTTTATAAGATCCCCATTTTACCACTTATTTCAAGGAATGGTCAAAAATTCGGTGAAAACTCTGCATTCCAGTCAATAGATGGCTTGATTGGCTCGTTTTAGAGTGAAAAAGTTGGTGAAAAGGGTCGATTATCTCATCAAAAAGTGACACTTCCGGCAATACGCACACTAATTTGAATGAATGTTATTTTTAGATTGAACAGCGAAATTATTTTACAAGCATTTTACCTTGAAATTTACTTTGTTTAGCTGCTTCTCGAGGATTGATTGTTTTTTTGATTGGTGTTATCACGCTCTATTTGAAACATCTTTCCCTTTCCTTTCGATTCGATTTGTTCTAATTTATTCAATAAGCAAATGTTGTTAGAACAATAATTATTGCTTTTTGTACTTTGTAGCATATGCACTTTGTTTACTAAATGACGATCCAATTACTAAATTACCTTATCAGCTTTAGTCACTTCAGTTTATCAATTTTGAAACATCTTTTTTTCAATCATCTTTTCTGACTTGACTGAATTGAAGAGGAACATCAGTGTTCCGATTGAGCATCAATCGTTGAGCATCAATCGTTGAGCATCAATCGTTGAGCATCAATCGTTGAGCATCAATCGTTGAGCATCAATCGTTGAGCATCAATCGTTGAGCATCAATCGTTGAGCATCAATCGTTGAGCATCAACTATTGCTTTTTGTTCAAATAATTTGTCAAATAAACAAATCAAATAAGCAAATCAAATAAACAAATCAAATAAACAAATCAAATAAACAAATCAAATAAACAAATCAAATAAACAAATCAAATAAACAAATCAAATAATCAAAATCAAATAATTTCAATCATATTTTACTTTGCTTATTTTTTACTACTGGTTTGCTAGGCTATTGGCTGACAAGTCGACTAATTTCTCAAGATTGTTTCAACCAATGCACTACCTGGCCGCCCTACTTGAAACAGCTTTCTCTCAGCCAATTCGCTTAGATATCTTTACTTCAGATTTGCATTCTAGGCTTGTAATATACAGCTGAATATCTTGAGCTTGCTAGTCTTACGATAAGAATATCATAAACAAAGATGATCCAGATAACAAAGGTAAAGTTTGTTCAGTACTATACGGTTATCCCTCCCCGCCCAAGCGCATTAATACGGCTATACAGTTGTACCCCAATTAAGAAAGCCGGCTTCACACATAAAACTGTCAACCATAGGTACTTTGACACAATTTTTCTATATATTCTTACAGGTTAGTGTACAAAACAAATTGCACTTTTCAATAGTCAAATCTGATGAGGATTCTTTTAAAACCAACCGTAAGTCGATCCGTTTGCTCGAGGTACAGACATTGAATCGACTTGCGGTTGGTTTTAAAAGAATGCTCATCAAATTTGGACGACCACCAGACGATCTCAACATTCAAACACTTGTTGGGAGCGGCAAAATGGAGAAATAAAAACCATCGCGGAACTGTTCGACAACATTTGGAAAGCATCATTTTAAAAACGCAAAGGAACCACACAGGAAAAGTGGGATGATCAATACGTTTTTTTCTCTCATTTGTAATCATTTTATAACTTTAAAAAAGCTAATAAGTTTCCGTGTTCATCTAAAAGTTTAGGCTAATTAAACTCCAATTTTCATTTAAAAGATTCAATAAAATGAATAGATTATGTCGAAATTTTTGAGAACAATTTTTGCTACAAATTGCACATCTCGTTCAATCTCGTTGATCTCGTTGATTGCAGTTGCAGTTGTAGTTGCAGTT